TATGTGCTTTAGTGTTTTGCCTGCATGTGTGTCTGTGTGAGGGTGTTGAATCTCCTGGAACTGGAGTTACAGACACTTGTAAGCTGTTATGTGGGTGCTGGGAATTAAACACAGGTCTTCTGGAAGAGCATAAGTGCTTTTAACTGCTGAGGCATCTCTCCAGCTCTTTGGGTGATTTAAATAACAAACAAACCATTTTTGTATTTAAAACAGATTCAGGTGCAACTAAACTAAACTTTTAATTGACATTTAGTCTTGCCAAGTGGTGGGAAAAAGACTTTGAAGAAACTGTCCTCAGGCCCCAAGTTTTAAAGGGTGAAAGGATCTAATTTTTTTTTTTTTTTATCAAATATATTATGGTTATTCTACTATTCTTCAAAAGCTTTCAAGAAACCTATTGGGTATTTCTTTCCCAGAAATCCCAGAAAATCAACTCTACAAGGTAATCTAGACTCCAGTATGGGTCTCCCCTGACGCAGATACTGATGTTTGAGCCTTCTCTTCCTGACAAGGTGCGTACACAGCCAGTTACTTTGAGGTTTTATCTATGGGATTCGTGTCTTTTGGGCTCATTAAGAACATTTCCAGAGATTACAATGTCAATAACACCTAATTACTGGGCTGTGAGAAAGGTCTGCTTGAGTACATAAGACCCGGAGGCTGTGTGGTGCACACAATGGGAGGCTCACATCCCACATTTTATCACAGGGAAGTAGCAAACAAATTAATAATCTTACTTGTGCTCTCTTGGGATAATTACTACCATGTAAAAAACTGCTTTGAGATTTTGCAGATAGTGTGGTGTCCTGTTTTTTATTCCCTTCTACTAGTCAGTTTTTTTTTTTTTTTTGTCTCTTAAAACTAGCTATTGCATGACTGAAACCCTGTGGTTCTCTTTAGAACTCTCAGGACTTCATAACAAAGAAGTCACATGCAGCCTGCTTAGGCAGGTCTTCCTTGATCTAACATTGGTTTGATTATATGTTATTATTTTAATTCCCTTTCTCAAAGCCTTGTATGCACTAGCCTCGGTTTTACTTCAGTAAAACTTCAGTTTTACCCATGCCTGATGGAAAACTAGTTATTAAAGAAACAAAGGTGAAATCATTTTAATTTATGCACTTACTGCTTAGAGCCTTGTTGCTTTCACAAGGTAAATTAAAATATGGATCTGCCAGACTTGAGTCTCGGGTCATATCAGAAATGGCTTGTGAAGAGAAGCTAATGGGAGGATCAGCTCCATATGTCTTCTAGGAGATTATTCTATTTAATCCTCTTAGTGAGTGCACCAGGTAGGATTGTCTCTGCTCTTACACAGCAGAGGAAAGCCAGAGGAAGCTGCCCAGGGATTAAGGAGCAGAACTGAGATTGGAGCCTGAGTCTATCAGCCTCCAAAGTACTGGCTCTTCCTGATGCATCACAAAATGTCTCCTGTATCTTGTCAAAACAAGACTGTACCTGGTCCTGTACGCATTTTTGGGTCAGATAACCCAGCCTAGGGGTGCCTGGCACATGTTCTTGGGTCCCTTGATTGAATCCCCAGTCCCACTGTCGGTATAACCATAAGAGTTTGCCAACCTTTGATGTACTCACGTGAGCCACCTGTTAAGTGAAGGAAATTGATAAGGAAATCCTACCTCTGGGGTGCTAGTGAGAATTAGAGTTAACACCTGAAAAGCATCTAGAATATTATCTCTTCCTACTATATGTCAGCTGTATATACTTTTAAAGAGTCTCCTGTGGTGTGAAAGTACAGCCTAGGAACTTAAATCTTTGATGTGGCTTAGAACGCTGTAACGGAGACGGTTATTGTTTTCATGTTCAATGGGGGCACTTTAGATCTTAATATTGATTTGAATATTTTGAACAATAACAAAAAATATAAAACCAGTGACTTCAAAGAGTCTAATTTCCAGGGGCTGCAGACTTGAGTGACTGGTTAAGAGCCCTTGCTCAGCACACACAAGGATCTGAGTTCAGATCCAAAGCATCAGGCAAAAATCTAGGCATGGCTGCATGTGCCTGCAATGCCAACATTAGAGTAGAGACAGGTGGATCCTGAGAAATTACTGACCATCCAGCATAGCCCAAAAGACAAGCCTCCAGTCCCATGAGAGACCCTGTCTCACTGCAATAAATCAGAGTGAGAGGGGAAGACATTTGATGCCCTGCTTTGGCCTCTGAGTGTTCATACATATACCATACACTCACGTGCATGCAACACACACACACACACACACACACACACACACACACACACACACACACACAGGGAGGGAGAGAGAGAAAGAGAGAGAGAGAGAGGCAGACAGACAGAGAGACAGAGACAGATAGAGACAGAGGGACAGAGAGAGTTCCATTTATGATCCATTGCCAGATACATTACTGTGAACACCTCTCTTCATGGTATAGAAAGTGATAAAAATTTGCTTATAGTTTAGACACATTAACTGTATATCTAACACCACATTAATATTTGTGAATTAGTGCTTTAAAATACTAGTAACATATTAAATTATTTTCTAGGAGCCACAAAGGTTATTTCCTTAACCCTACAAAGTAGATGGGGAGCTTGGAATGATTTGCTTGGTGGTGACAATGTGGTTCTTTGACATGTTATCAAGGATACTATCCATCCACAAGCTACTGCCTCTAAAATCTGCATTCTATTGAGGAGACTTATCCACTTCTCAAATTGTTAAATTAGTTATTTAGCTTTCTTTCTTACGTTCATTTGTTTGTCTTCATTCATTAAAAGCGGGAATTTTGATTTTAGTAAATTTTGGCTCATTTGGAACTAACTAGCTAGAAATGTTGGTTAACTGAGTTATTTCCCAGCATTATCTTCAGAGAGAGGAAGAGTATAACGTGTGAATGCTTTGTCAGAGGTCAGAGATCTGCTTCTTTTCCTTTTGTACAGCAGCATTATGGTGCAAACATTTTTCATGGTGTAGATTAATAGCTAGAATCATCAGCTTTATGGTTATCTGAAAACTGATAGTCATATAAAGCATTTATATTTAGTCTGATTTGTATGACAAAAAGTGAAATAATGACTCTGGAGGACTTGTGGCAGACTAGGTGGAGATAATTCTGCATTTTGCATTTCCAAGATGAGGAAGGCACGGGTCTTTGTTTCAGCTGCTTTACCATGTACAGTCATTTGTGCTATTAATACTTTAAGTGGGCCCTTGAAAAATATTTTTTTTTTTTGTCTCTGGAAAGTCAATTAAGATTACATAGAGGCCGGGCGGTGGTGGCACACACCTTTAATCCCAGCACTTGGGAGGCAGAGGCAGGCGGATCTCTGTGAGTTCGAGGCCAGCCTGGGCTACCAAGTGAGTTCCAGGAAAGGCGCAAAGATACACAGAGAAACCCTGTCTTGAAAAACCAAAAAAAAAAGATTACATAGAGGTGTGTGTGTGTGTGTGTGTGTGTGTGTGTGTGTGTGTGTGTGTGTGTGTGTGTGATCTAGCACCTTGAGAATGCAAGGCAGAGGCTCTCTACTGAGCTTTAGCTCCAGACCTGGAAAGTCACCTGTGGATGCCATGTCCTCAACTGGATTATTTGGGAATGCACTGCTGAGTCTACAGTTTCCTAATTCAAACTTCAGGTCAACAACAAACTCTAAATTTACCAATCCATATTTTTTTTGATAAGCCACAAGCACATTTAGCTATTTTGGAAATAACTTACCATATAAGGTGGGATTTGCAATTTAACAGATCTAATTCATTATTTAAATTCTGACATCTTTAACCATTGCTGTTTCCTAATCTATGGAGTCCAATCTGAGCATGGCTGTAATCTACTGTCAGTCCTGAGGAGGTGTCCATCACTGTGATTGCTCAAGGATTCCTTTGTCCCTAGGAAGACAACCACTAACCCGATATCAGAGGTGGAAACAACCACAGGAAGCTTCCCCACCGCACAGATGCCCAGGAAAAGACACCCTTCACACTTTCTGCAGAGGCCAGGATTTAAGCTCTTACCACATACTTTCCCCTTGCAGAAAGTTTCATTAAAGTTTTATAGTCTACTTTTAAAGATGTCCAGATATGCCAAATGAATCACTCATTCAATGATCAGGCATAATCAATGCTCATAATTCAAAAATAACAATGCTATATTTTGTTAATTCTACTTGCTTACTATGCTCCATAAATTTATAAGCTTTAAATAATGAATTCTCTTTTCCCAATCCTGGAGATTGAGCCTGGGATCTCATATTCACTAAGGAAGCACTGTACCACTGAGATCCACCATCTGCCCCCAAGCTTCTCTGGGTACATATATCTGCCCTCACCCTGAACACTCTTACGTAGATTTATTTTGGTTTCCAAGGTCAGAGAAAAGTTTTACAGATTCATATAGACAAAATAAGTTTTAGTGTAAAAAACACATCTAATTTAGTGTAAAAAAAACCCACATCTTTAGGGATCGATCAAAGAGAAATTTGCAAAAAACAGTCTTGTTTTTTCTGCTAATTACTAGATTGGATAAACAGACATTTAACTAGAAATTCGGGGTTTGGTGTTTAGATTTTTTTCTATTCTTTTTTTTTTTTTTTTTTTTGCAGTCTAGTTAAAAGAAGTGAAATTTTAACTGAGATAGTTTCTGAGTTTGAAGAAAGACAAAATTCATTTTCAACTAGCAGCAGTCAGAATCCAGAAATGCACAAAGTTTATAAATTGGCTGAAAAGTCCCACTTTCATCCATAATACCAAATACCTTAAGCTAAACAAGAAAAGCAAGATGGAGGGGGACTTCGGTGAGGTTTTAGGCCAGCCTGGACTACAGATTGAGGCTGAGAAGAGGAGGAGGGAAGAGGGGGAGACATGAAGGTTAATTACTTTTGTGTACTCACTCTCTGTTCGAACATCTTTTCCTTAATAAGGAGTCTTATTGCTTTCCTTCAGTGCTGTGATGGATGCTGGGCCTCAGATATGCTAGGTTGGCATTATGAGAAACACCCCTACTCCCACTCCCCAGATTCTTACCTTTGGGCAAGTGTGCAAGGGACACCTCGTCATTGGACACATCCACATACTTGTGCTCCATCTGCATGTTAATCAAAAAGTTTCATTACTGAGCTTCAATAATATTAACTGATTAAATATTTAATGGAGGAAAAACAATTGACCTACCATGGATGAGTGATAAACACTTGTAGGAGATGGTGTCTCTGACAAATTCATTGCAGAGTGTACATACAAAGGCTTCACTCTCTGAAAGACACAAGCAGCGGGTACTGTGGGTCAAGAGGAAATCACAATCAAAGCAAAGGGATGTGGACGCTCTTTGTATTAGTCAGGTTTCTTTAGAGAAGCAGAACAGATATAGTGAATCTAAGTATATAAAATTTATTTAGTTTTTTTTTTTAGAGTGGCTTACAGATTATATAGTCTGACTATTCCAACAATGGCTTTCTCCATATGGAAAGTTCAAGACTCCAGTAGTTTTTCAGTCCAAGAGGCTGCATGTCTCAGCTGGTTTTTGGTACATGCTAGAATCCAAAAGAAGTAGGCTGTAATGCCAGTGAAGGAATGAGCTTGCTAGCAAGATTAAGAGCAAGCAGGTAAAGAGCAAGCATCCTCTTCTTCCATGTCCTTTATATAGACTGCCATCAGATGGTGTGGTCCAGATTTAAGGTGGATCTTCCCACCTCAGAAGATCCAGATTTAGGGTGGCTCTTCCCACTTCAATGATTCAATCAGGAATCTCACAGGTGTAACCGCTGCTGCTTTTCGTTAATTCCAGATGTAGTCAACTTGACAACCAAGAACAGCCATCACACTTTCTAACACCTCAACTATGACATGAAAACCCTGCTTCTAATTTCTCATTTGTTCAAATACAGATGGAGAAATCCTTTCCCCAGTGGTGGTGTACACCTAGAGTCCCAGATACTCAAGTGGCTAAAGCAGGATTGTTTAAACCCAGACATTTGAGACTAGGCTGGGTAATAGAGAGATGCTCCAACTCAACAACATCAGCACCATCAGCACCAACAAGTAGGAGCAAAGATTCACTGCTTTACTGAGGCTGTTTTGAAAGACAATTCAAGAAAGATATTCTCCTCAGTGTCTTTTCTGACTCTACTTTCTCTTAATTATCCCTTCAACTTGGGATTTTCTGCAAGTTGGCCCTCCATGGGCATAGCTCTATGTTTGCAGCTTCAAGTTGCAGTGGAGAAAAAAAAAAACACTAAAAAACCCCTTCTAAATTATTTCTGTAATGAACATGTATAAACATCATTTTCCTTGTCATTATTCCCTAAGCAATACAATATGGCAACCATCTACATAATACTAATTATGTAAATTATTCAATGCATAATATATTGCATTAGGTAGTACAAGTAATATAGAGAGATTTAAAGTCTATGGAGGAATGTAAAACATTGCACTCAAGCACTAAGTCTTTCTAAAAATAATACAGAGATTGAGCATCCAAGGACCTTGGTACCTCTGTGTGGTCCTTGAACTAATGCCCTTCAGATATGGAAGGGCATCACACAGTAACAGGTCAGAAGTCACAAGGTCACTTCCAATCCCAAATAGTTGCTGTAAGCTCCAGAAGTGTGCCAAGATCGCTAAGAATGGACTGGCAAAAAGGCAAGAGAGAAAACAAGTGGGAGGCTTTCTTCCAGAATTTCTGAAGCAGAAGCACATCTACATCACCGTGACCCACTTGTGAGTAAATCAAGATGAGAGGGAGGTGTGGGTGACACAGTGAAAGGCGCCTTATGCATGCTCACCAGAAACAGTTTGAGGTCCACGTGCACTGCTTAGAATTTAGGCTTTTTTCCCTCTTATTTCCTTATTCACTCTTGGTGAGTTGAGTATCTTTATTTTTATATTCGTGCACATGTATGTCTTTACATGCATTTTTTCCTATCCCCATAGCCTAATCTCATAAAGGGGTGTGGCATTAAATGTTTAATGGGGGAAAACCAATTGACCTACTATAGGTGAGTGAAAAACACTTGTTAGAAAACTCTGCCAGGTTTACGGTAGAGTGTACCATAATGGGGTGTGAGACTAGGGGGATAGAAAATGCATGTACAAGGATATGTGGCCTCAGGAGATGAAGGCAGAAGACACTGGAAATGAATAGACTGTGAAGAGATCCAAGAGAATCATGAATATGGTATGGAAAAATTACAACTATTAAAACGAGAGAAAATTAAAACCCAAATAAACCCATCTCATATTCCTCAAAGTTGTCATACCAGTGGACAATATAATCAAGGAGCTGGTAAGATGGCTCAGTGGATAAGAGCACTAGCTGCTCTTTTAGAGAACCGAGTTCGGTTCCCAGCCTCCATGTGGCAGCTTACAGTCACCTGTATCTCTAGTTCTAGGTAACTCCACAGCTTTCTTGGGCAGTAGGCACACATATGGTTCATCTATACACATGCAGACAAGGCACTCGTACACATAAAATATAAAAAATAAAGTATAATCAAGAATGCTGTCAGATGTAAATCTAAGAAAAGATGGACACCATGTCTCCCATCCTGTAGCTCTCTTTTGCTTTGGGGACATTTGCCAGACTTAACTAATCCATGTAAGAGTGGTCGAAGGCTCCTTTAACCCAGAGGTAGAGGACAAATCTCAGAATCCACTTAAAATGTGTGATTTAGCAAGACCCCTTGCTTGGTGATGACTCCGGAGTCTTAGTAATGCAAAGTGGGGGAGAAGATGGCACCATAGATATAATGCATATAAAGCAAAGCTGTAGCAAGCCTGAAGTTTTTCCAGACATCTCTATCTGCTAGCTTGCCACAGGACATAGCACTAAAAGTTAAAGGTGATTTTTGTCACTGATTTCTTTTCAGCAGATGTGATAAACCACTGGCTAAGGTGACTTAAGAAATACGATTTAACAAATAAAAGTTCCAGCAGTACATTTTTAGGGAATAGATACATTGATGCTAACTAAGCGCCCTCAGAAAACACTAAACATGTCTGATGGAATGACACAGCCTTCTTGTGGGACTTTCTGTTCTTTTGGTCCAGGTGGTTAAACACCGAAGATGAGGATGATGCCAAGTGAATTTGCAAACTTCAGTGAGAAGAAGGAGAAAGATACTGTGCATCTTCTTCTCCATGTAGACTAG